GCGCCAGCAAAGGAGAGGGGAGGGTGACCGGCTACCTCCTTACGGACACTCCTAGGATCCTCAGCCAAGATTTGCCACTGACAGGGGCATCCAGATGCAAAGGGGGGGGACTGATGTGTGCTTTTGAAAAAGGAAGGAAGAGGATGAGAAACGTTTTACCTGCCAATATCTGCTCTTCAGGAGGGACGCGGGTGGTGCTGTGGGTTAAACCACAGAGCAGAGCCTAGGACTTGCCGATCAGAAGGTCGGAGGTTCGAATCCCCTCGACGGGGTGAGCTCCCGTTGCTCGGTCCCAGCTCCTGCCAACCTAGCAGTTCAAAAGCTCATCGAAGTGCAAGTAGATAAATAGGTACCGCTCCGGCGGGAAGGTAAATGGCGTTTCCGTGCGCTGCTCCGGTTCGCCAGAAGCGGCTTAGTCGTGCTGGCCACATGACCCAGAAGCTGTACGCCGGCTTCCTCGGCCAATAAAGCGAGATGAGCACCACAACCCCAGAGTCGGCCACGACTGGACCCTTTACGTTTATCTGCTCTTCACTATAGGAATGTGCAGGTCTCTGACCTCCTCTGTGTCTGATCATTGGAGGTTTTTAAACAAAGGTTGGATGGCCAGCTGCCAGGAATTACTTAGCTATGATTCCTGCATTGCAGGGGGAAAGACTAGATGGCCCTTGGAGTTCCCTTCCAACTCCACAATCCTATAATTCTAATCACTTGGCTGATTCCTATTGTCTGATTCACACCTTGCTCCAGCTGCCCCCTGGTGTCTCCATCTGCATCCTGCAAGCTGTAGCTCTAGATTACAGAATGGGTAGGCAAACTAAGACCTGGGGGCCGGATCCAGCCCAATCACCTTCTCAATCCGGCCCGCGGATGGTCCAGGAATCAGCATATTTTTACATTAGACTGTGTGCTTTTATTTAAAATGCATCTCTGGGTTATTTGTGGGGCCTGCCTGGTGTTTTTACGAGGAGAATGTGTGCTTTTATTTAAAATGCACCTCTGGGTTATTTGTGGGGCCTGCCTGGTGTTTTTACATGAGTAGAATGTGTGCTTTTATTTAAAACGCATCTCTGGGTTATTTGTGGGGCATAGGAATTTGTTCATTCCCCCCCCCAAATATATTCCAGCCCCCCACAAGGTCTGAGAGACAGTGGACCAGCCCCCTGCTGAAAAGGTTTGCTGACCCCTGCTCTAGAGAGCTGTGTGTTATTGTATGTGTTACTTATATTGTAGTACAATCGCTGAGATGCTTCACTCGTAACACCAGGAGTTAAAAAAAAGAGTATTCAGAGCAATGAATGGGGAAGAGAAGAAGTAAGCAGCAGATAGTAAGGAACTGCCAGAGTGGTGTTGGACTAGGACTTGGGAGAACAGGGTTCGAATCCCCGCTCAGCCTTGAAGCTCAATGCGTGACTTTGAACCAGGCGCTGCCTCTCAGCCTAGCTTACCTTGCAGGGTTGTGGGAATTAAACGTGGAGGGCGAGAGAGAGCCATGTACATGCCGACTTGAGAGCCAGTGTGGTGTGGTGGTTAAGAGCAGTAGTCTCGTAATCTGTGGAACCGGGTTCGTGTCTCCGCTCCTCCACATGCAGCTGCTGGGTGACCTTGGGCCAGTCACACTTCTCTGAAGTCTCTCAGCCCCACTCACCTCGCAGGGTGTTTGTTGTGGGGGAGGAAGGGAAAGGAGAATGTTAGCAGCTTTGAGACTCCTGAACGGGAGTGAAAGGTGGGATATCAAATCCAAACTCTTCTTCTTCTTCTCCCTGGCAAAAAATGCAAAATAGAAATAAAGAAATAGAAATAAAATATCTGCTTGCTGCCGCTCTCACCAGTTAGACTGGGCCCCTGCTCCCCAACATAGAGGCCATTCCATCCGTTCCTGTTTCCCTTTGAAGAAGCAGCAGGAAGCATCTGCACTGGGGTTGATGGGATCAAATTAATAATAATAATAATAATAATAATAATAATAATAATAATAATAATTTATTTATACCCTGCCCATCTGGCTGGGTTTCCCCAGCTGCTCTGGGCGGCTTCCAACAGAACACTAAAACACAATAACCTATTAAGCATTAAAAGCTTCCCTAAACAGGGCTGCCTTCAGATGTCTTCTAAAAGTTTGGTAGTTATTTTTCTCTTTGACATCTGGTGGGAGGGCGTTCCACAGAGCGGGCGCCACCACCGAGAAGGCTGCTTCCTTTAAGACTACAGCTCCCTTCATCCTGACCATTGGCCATGTGGACTGGGGCTGATGGGAGCTGGAGTCCGAACAACATCTAGAGCAGGCTTCCTCAACCTCGGCCCTCCAGATGTTTTGAGACTACAATTCCCATCATCCTTGACCACTGGTCCTGCTAGCTATGGGAGTTGTAGGCCAAAAACATATGGAGGGCTGAGGTTGAGGAAGCCTGATCTAGAGGGCCACAGGTTAGCTGCCGCTGCCTGGTTGGGTCACCAGTCTGTTTTTCAGAGGCTGGCAAGCTCTGTTTCTTGACGTATGAGCCACCTGTTTCCATACAAGCTAATCATTATAAGAACCCTGCAGCATAAAAAAATCTGGGACCTGAGTTTGCTTCTTTTCCCTCCTTTCGTGTCACATTTTGCAAGCCTTAAGGGCAGGAACAGGGTTTACGTTGATTACTTGGCAAGCCGCTCTGTCAGATTTTCTGGGGGTAGAGATGTTTTGAACATACATTTATTTAAACGCACAAGCAAAGAAAAACAAACAAACACAAAAAACTAAACCTAAAACGATTAGCCACAAAAGCAGCAGTACATTATGAAATCAACTATAATATGTATTTTTATATAGTGTCGACTATACCGGGGCTTTTCAAATTGTGATCTGCAGGCCACATGAACTGCTTCCATGAGTTTCACAGGTGCTCCACAAGGTGTGTGTAAAAATGCAGTTAAGAATCATACAGTATTTAGCACCCGCAATTGCAACAGGCTGAAAAATCACCAAATGGTCCACCAAGAACCTAAGCAATTTTCAAGTGATCTGTGGGTGGGAAGTTTGGGAACCACTGTTTTATGTGCATCATGCTTTAGAAAGAATTGGTAGGATAGGTTCCCTGGCTGCGGGGGTTACAATCTAAAACCAGCCCGCCCAAAACGGGGGGGGGGGGGAGTGGGGAATATGGAGGCACGAGCAGGTAGAATAATATGTTATTATGTTTGCTATACCAGGTTTCCCAAACTTGGGTCTCCAGCTGTTTTTGGACTGCAACTCCCATCATCCCTATCTAGCAGAACCAGTGGTCAGAGATGATGGGAACTGTAGTCCAAAAACAAGCTAATCATGTCTACATTTACTCCTTTGGCTTCGCTCCCTGTAAAGCAGTGCTGGCCAACCTGTCCCGCTGATGTTGGGACTACAACCCCCATCATGCTTGCTCATTGGCCATGGTGGGTGGAGTTCATGGGAGATGGGAGTCTAACAACAAATGACAGGCCACAAGCGTAGGGAGAGCAGCAGTGGGCAACCTGTGGCCCTCCTGATGTTGGGACTCCTAACTCCCATCAGCCTCAGCCAATATGGCGAACGGGTAATGGATGATGGGAGATGTAGTCCGGCAACTTCTGGAGGAGTGCAGGACTATGTTGGATGGCGCAAAAACTTTGGAGGCAATGCGGGTTTTGTGGAGGGACTTAAAGGAAATTATGTGGTCACGTGGAGGCAGTTTGAGTGGCAGTTCCATCTCTAAGGGGTAGTGAGGCGAAAGGGACTTAGTGGTGAAGTCAGATACAAGCAGGAGGTTGAAACAGGGGTCAGAAAACGTTTTCAGCAGGTCCACTGTCCCTCAGACCTTCTGGGGGGGGTGGACTATATTTTTTTGGGGGGGAATGAACAAATTCCTATGCCCCACAAATAACCCAGAGATGCATTTTAAATAAAAGCACACATTCTACTCATGTAAAAACACCAGGTGGGCCCTACAAATAACCCAGAGATACCCACTTCATATACCAAAGCATGGGTAGGCAAACTAAGGCCCGGGGGCCAGATCCAGCCCAATCGCCTTCTAAATCTGGCCCGCGGACGGTCCAGGAATCAGCGTGTTTTTACATGAGTAGAATGTGTGCTTTTATTTAAAATGCATCTCTGGGTTATTTGTGGGGCCTGCTTGGTGTTTGTACATGAGTAGAATGTGTGCTTTTATTTAAAATGCATTTGGTGGTTGGTGCAAGAGTCCGGAGAGAGCCCCAGAGAGGGGAGCCATTGGAAGAAGTGCCGTGGGGTACTGCTCCTGGCTCCTGTTCTCTAGGAATGGGAGAATGAAAGGGGAGCAGAGGGTGGGAGCTGATTTCAGGAACCCTAAAGGAATGAGCAATGTTTACTTTGTTGCCACACAACTATCTGCAAGCAGCTTCTGACGCCCCTCATTCTGAAGACTCCGGGAATATATGGAAACTATCAGGATCAGGAAACTCAGTCAAGAGGATCAAAGTGATGAAACTAGAAAATTAATAATAATAATAATAATAATAATAATAATAATTTATTATTTATACCCTGCCCATCTGGCTGGGTTGCTCCAGCCACTCTGGGCAGCTTCCAACACAAAAACGTAATAAAACATCAAAGAGTAACAATCTGATCCAATATAAAAGTCACAATAACTTTTAAAATAAATAACTTATATCAAAGCAACATTCAACAATACAGCAGAATCTAATAGTAAACAGTAAAGTTAAACATCAGCAAATCATAGTTAAGCAGTTCACACTTATCAACTACAATAATTACCAATCTATAATCAATAAAAATAACTTAAACGAGGAAAAAGATGGCAAATGTCAGTTATGGCCTCAGACCTAGCAAATGACAATTTCACTGAAGGAAAACATAGCATAGTTATCCTAACCAAATTACAATGTTATTAAACAGGGAGCTCTGGTTGTTGGGAATGGCGGGTGGCCGATATGAAGTTTTCGCTCTTTTATTTATTTCTCCATCTTTTAGAATGGCACGCGCTTTACTTGGGCACGTTTGAATGGTTGCAACCCGCGGTTGCCTTGGTAACCATGGCGGACAACCTCTCGGCCAAGATGGCCGCCGAAGACCGCGTGGGAGGCTAAAAAAAAGGCCAAAGGGCTCGGGCGTGCCGCTCTGCTCCCCCTCGCGCGCACTCTATGGTCTGAGAGTTTCGGCAAGCGAGCGCAGGAGAGTCGGCCGGAACCCATGCGGAGCAGACGCGCATGCGCACATACAAACATTTCCTCGGTAGGGAAGCTAGTCTCATTGGGATTTCAGGCGCAACTCAAACCGGACGGGCAAGGACTACTGGCGCATGCGCATTGGAAAACAAATGGGGGGGAGGAGGAACTCAGTTTCTGTGCGCTTGCGCGCTGCATAAGCTCAGTCCCAAACGATGAAGCCGGACGTGTGGTTCTTTTCCCACCCAAATGCACATGCGCAGTAGAACCCCCACACCGGCGGTCGCCTCGTGAGCATGCGTAGCCTCCTTCGCCCCTCAGACGCGCACGCTCAGAGCCGCTCCGGCGCCCCGGCGCCTTACCCACAGCGCAGGCGCATTACGGCGTCGGAAGACGAGGCTCCGCCTCCTTTCCTTCCCCCTTCCTTCCCACCCATTGCGGCCACCTTCGCTTTTTTTTTTGGAGCGTTTCCTCCCAGTGCGCGTGCGGCAAAAGGAGAGAGGGGGGAGGAAAAAAAGCGACAGCGCGAGAAGAGGCGGGAGGGAGGGGGAAAGGGCGAGAGGAGGCGATAAGTGCGCGTGCGCACTGCGGGCTGGGTTGCAGCAGGCAGCGGCGGCGGCGGCGGTTGAGCTCGCGGGCGGGTGAGTTTGGTGCGCGTGTGTGTGTGTGCGCGGGGCTGTCCCGTGTGTGTGTGCGCGCGCGCACGCGGCGGTGGCAGCCGTTGCGACGCGGCGCGGAGCGAGGGGGGGGGGAAGGGAAGGGGAAGCCTCACCGACCGGCGCCGCCGCCGCCTCAGCCGCGTGGCTCCCTTTCCCCCCTCACGGAACGAGGTGCCGCGCGCACCCTCCCCTCCCCCCCTCATTCTCCTCAGAGAGAGAGAGAGAGCGGGGGGGGGGGAGGAGAGCCTGGCGCCCCCCGTGTCGCGTGCAGGAGGCGGCGGCGGCGAGGCCGAGGCCTGCTCTTGGGAGGCCAGGCCGGGCCCCTCTGCTGGGCTGACTCACGGAGCGGGAGAGGAGGGAGGGAGGGGGGGGTAGACGGCGGCGAGTCAGGCCCGGCCGAGGCCTACCTTGGAATGGGTCTCCTCTGGGTTACACAGTGTGTGTGCGGGGGGGGGGGAAACGGGGTGCCCATTGGGGCAGGACGAGGCCTTGTGTTGCTTTTTCATTTGGGGGGGCTCCCTCAGACCTTTCAAAGGAAAATACGGGGGGGTGTGTTAGCCTCCTGGTAATTGGGGTTTGCGGGTGGACTGTATAACTTGAGGTTTGGGGGCTCCTTTAGCTCTTGCGTTGGGACTGGCGCGAAGGAATAATAATAATAATTTATTTATACCCCGCCCATCTGGCTGAGTTTCCCCAGCCACTCTGGGTGGCTTCCAACAAAATACTAAAATGCTACCTATTCAACATTAAAAGGAAGGGAAGGGGTTGGTGGGGACCCTTTGGGGAGGGATCAGGGAAGGGCCAGTGGCCTTTGAGGGGGGGTCGCCTCTTGCAGTTGCACAGGGTTATGTTTTGGGGTCCTGCACCAGAAGGCATTGGTTTTGGAATGGGGTTTGAGCGGGAGTTGAAAGAAAGAAGGGTGGTTTTCTTTGGGGAAGGGTGTGTGGCTCCTATATGAAGTCCACTCCCTGTTCTAGGGGCTTTACGCCCTGCTGGCTTTGGTTTTGTGGGAAAGAAGGCCTTTGAGGACACGGGTGGGGGTGGGATCTGTTTCAGCAAGGGGGTCAGGGCTGCCTTTAGGGGAGGGGAAGGGGCGCTGAGGTTCCCGCTCTCTGCAAGGGGAGGCTTGTCCTCAGCTGAACTTGGGAAGGTAGGAGATGGGTGTGGTGGGAATATCCCTCGAAGGGCTGCTCTGCAAGAAATAGAGCTGGAGGGCGTTTCTCCCCCAGAGAATTGACATTTTGCTTAGGGTCACCAGCTCTGCCCCAGTTTATAGCTTAGGGAGATGGCTGGTAGGTATCGAAGTAAGATTTTGGTAGAGAGAGCTGGAATTGCCCATAGAGGTGTGCATGCACACAAAAGCTTATACCAAGAACAAACTTACTTGGTCTCTAAGGTGCTATCTTTTTATATATTTTGATTGGGGAGCATTGCACTAGATAAGGCAGTGGAAGGGGCTTCAGGTTAGCTGTTGGGGGAGAATTAGATGATTCCCCACCCTCAGGGAAGGGCTGGCCCCAGTTAGGGCTTGATGAAGGAAGGGAGTGGTGCCTGAGTGGGTTGAGAAACTGCACCAGGTTAGCAGAAAGGATTGACTTCCAGCTGGAGTGGGGTTGAAGGTCTGGTTTGGAGGATCAGTGCTGGGGCAGGAAGATGGCACTTGGGAATCTCATAGACATGCTGTCTGGTGTTCCTGGCGGGCTGGTTCCTTGGGGAGTGAGCTTTGGAGTGGTTGATGCATATGGCTACCCTTTGGGTACACACATGAAAGAGTAGCTGGCGGTGTCTTCACCCCCTTGCCCTCAGCTTAGGGCTCCGAACTGAGGAGAGTAGCCCTGCAGGAACTGACAAAGGGGTGGAGAAACCCCCTGACCCTGAAGTTTGGGCCTTTAAGTATGGAACCCGGAATATATCTTTAAATTTATCAGATTTCTATACCACCCTTCACCTGAGGATCACAGGGCAGTTTACAGTATAAAAGCACAAAAATACATGCCATAGTAACAAAAACACCCCGTCGTTTAAAAGGCCACGGAGAAAGTTAGCGTAGGTTGAGGAGGGAGCTGTTGTGATGAATTCCCTCCTCCTCTTGTAGGTGATGAGAGAGTGAAAATTGGTGGCATAGCTCCAAAGTGTGTGTGTGTGTGTGTGTGTGTATAAAATAAATATATTACTGAATGCATGAGAGTATAGCTAATGTATTTTAAAGCTCCTGAATCCCATGAACCATTCCTCCATCTTTGCAGTTTTGTTGGAGAAAGTAGGCAAACTCATTTATGGTTAAGAAGTTGGGAGGGGGAAGATCCTTCTCTCCTGGCTGGGAGGGATGGAGCTCGGTTGGTCTCCCCAGCTGGTTTTGGCATGGCTTGAAGACTTTCAAATAGCTGGCCCAAGCTGCCTGGAAAGCAGGGGAGGCAGGGAGTTGAGTCCAGGGTTGCAACTTCCAGACTTGTTCCCATGCAAGGAGAGGCAGAAAGGTGGTATGAAGCTGCATGTTCCTTTGCAATACCAGCCTTACTGGTGCTATCTCCTGCTTCCCTGGTGTGGGGGCTGGGATCCCATTCACCATAGCACCTCGTTTCCCCTCTGGGCACGGCTTCTGATCCCCCTTGAGGATGGCAGAGGTGTGGGCAGCGACTGGGCTTCCATTGACTAACCCCCTGGGCTGGGTGTGAATGACTGTGACTGAAAGAGGCCTTTCCTGCAGCAGCTGTGTTGCCGCTGAATCTGTGCTTGGTGACTGGGAACCGTATGGCAAGAATTGCTAGGAATTTGGCCCTTACATGGGAAATGCAGTAACTGAATCTCCCATATTTTGATGGGGATGTTTCCCCATGGAATCTTAAGGTAGTTCTGAAATGGGGGAGGGAGGGGGTGCAGAGGCACTGCCCGCAAATGTAAAGGGCATTTCTTCCATCCAAATGCTGTGGTAATCCTTCCCCCCCCCCTTTCCCCTTTCCTTGGCCACGTGTGGCGCTCTCTGCAGTGGCAGCTTAGCTGAATCATGCTTGGTGTTGGCAGGAAGAGAGGGAGTCTCCCTCCAAACATGTGGCACGGAGGGCCTCTCTGCCTGATCACTTGGGCTAAAACTTCCTGCCTTTCTCTGCAGCTCCCTCCCTCTTTCCCACTCCTCCTCACGGCAGCGGCAGCGGCAGACAAAAATCGGAAGCACGTGGTGACCTCGTAGGCGCACCCCGTTGCCGTCTGCAAAGGGACATGTCATGCCGCTTAAGCTGTTGCAGTTAACAGTTGTCCTAATCAATTATCGGAGCGTAGCGCGGGTCAGAAGCAGTTTTTGGAGGAGGAGGAGGTGGGGTGGCGGCGGCGGCTGGAACTAAAACGAGCTCAGCAGATCTCTGGAGAGGGTAAATGAACCGACATGCTCCTCCCGGCCTGGGAGGGAGTGCCAGGCGGCCATGTAGTAGCTGAGCGGAGCAGCTGTGGCTACAGCCACCACCGCCTCTGCTCCGCTTTGTCTTAACGCTAGGGTGAGCCTGCAGCACCTCCTCGGGAATCCAATCTCGTTTTTCCAGCTCTGATGTAAGATGGGGAGGGTTCCGGATGACTTGGGAGCCATGTGCCTGCACGAAATGAGGCGAGGCCTGGCCTTTGTCAGGGATCTCGTGGCCCGCTGAGAGGCATCCCCAGAGTGCAAGTTGGTAATTTGGGGAGACTTGGCAGCTGGGGGGGGGAGTGTGTGTGCGTGCCTCAGTCCTTTCCATAGTTGCTGAGGGGTCCTTCTCCTTTGCAGGGATTGGGATGTTAAGGTGCGTTGCTGAGCTCTACCTGGAGTATCTACTCGGGACCTTTTAAACCTGGTGGGTGGGCATCTGCATGCTGAAGCCATTGCTGTGAGTTTTATTTGTTTTTAAATAGAAGGCAAAACTCCGGAATAGACTTACTGCTCATCCCAGTCCTTGGGGCTTAAGGGTCTCACTTGCAAGCCCCAACAAGTGAAGCTTTTTCATTATACTGAGAACACAAATGGTCTTTTTCTCAAATAAAGCTTTCTCTTCCCCTCTCCCCACCCCAGCCCTAAATTACTTTGCATCCCAAGATCTTAAACCCTTGATTTTGTAATGACTTGCATTAGGGAAAGGCTAGCAGAACACCTGCAGACTCTAAATACTTCTGTCGCTTTTGATTTCTTTCTTTTAAGCTATGCTAAATTTCCATAAAAATGCACTAAACAACTAGTCCAGGTAAGTTTCGAAGTGGGGCTGGGGAGGATGAACAGGCAGCTTTGATTTTTCTCCAAGGCAGGTGCCTTCTCGCTTTCCCTCATCTCTGCCTTTGGCTCAGCATTAGTTTAGGGGGCAGCACTTCTTCCAGAGTGTGATGCTCATAATCTGGTGTAGTTTTACTGTCAAGGCACAGAAGCTGGTCACTTCCATTGCTCTCTCTCGCTCCCTCCCCCCCCCCCCCCGGCTGAACCATTGCCAAAATAACTTGTGGCTGCCCAGGCCAAAAGGTATGTGTGCCGGGCAGTTTTGGAATTTGCTTGGGAGTGGGGCCCCTGCCCCGGACATCACACCAGCTTATTTCAGCAGTTGCGCATTCCACATGCTTGAATTAATGGGCGACCTCCGTGCAGTTGGGGCGCCGAGTTGTGCAGAAGTCTTAAACACAACCAGCAGCTCAGGCATCAAGGGTTCCTTTACAGAAGGCAACGTGGAAAGAGAAATTGGTGAACGAAGCTGGTGTGATTTGGGGGGGGGGACCAAAAGCATGGCCCTGCTCCCACACAAACCCCCAAATGCACTACACATGAGCAGCACAGAAACAGGGCTATTGCAAGGCAGCTATGCCCTTGTCACAGGTGAGAATTGACTTGGTTGCGCGCAGCGCTGGAAAAATGTCAAATTCCCATGAGCAGGCATTAGATTCTTAGGTGCCCGCCTTGCACAACACTGGAAACTCTGGATTAGTTCTGCCGCTGCTGCCATGGCAGCTTCCTCTTGGCACGCAGAGATTGCAAGCAGAGCTCTGGACTTCCTGGAGTGCAAACTGCCCCCTTTGCAGAGCTAGACAGCTGGATTTTTGGGCTCCCTTAATCCTGTCGGCCGTACCGCCTTGGTTCTCATGCTGAGGCGTGTGTTTGTCTGCCTAAGACTGCAGGCATGCAAGTGCTTCCTCGCCCGCCCGCCCCCCCATAAGCTGGTGGTGACTTAAGCATGGAGCCTTATGGCCATGCTTATAACTAGAGAGCAGCTATCAGCCTGTACTCGTCTTACCCAGAGCGTTGTTAACTGAGAACTGGCTCATCTAATGAAACGACTTGGCCGGCATGATATTGACAAGCTAAAGTGTTTTACATGGCAAGTGGTTAACCTGTGGAATTCATTGCCACTGGATATTTTGTCGGCTCAAAAAACAGTTCAGAGTTTTTGCCATGAAAGATTTTTATTTTGGGGGGCATTAGGGGCTTTGTGTATAAGCCTTGGTAGCTGAATGTGACCTGAGTGCTTCTTCCATGACACTTCAGAGGCAGTGGCCGTGTATTTCCTCTCCTGATTAAAAGGAAGGTGGGGTTCTTGGGATGCGATATTCTTTGACGTAGGCCAACTTCAGGAACTGTTTCTTCTGAAGAGAACCTAGAAATCTGCCAATTAGAGCTGGGTGCAAAAGAAAAAATCTTTTAAAAAAGAGTTAGAATTCTGAGCCCAGGAATTTGTTCCAAGTCTTGGAACTGAACTGAGCTCACAGCCCTGCCACACAAAAATCCATTCCTGGTTGCCGTGAGCCTTCAGAAACCTTAATTCAGGGGTGCGAGTCACTTTGTTAGCATAGCTAAGCAACCAGAAATCCTTGACCCTATACTTAAGTTTTAGACATTTTCCAGCAAGGGCATCAGAAGAGCGTGCAGGTGGAATAAGGCCGAAAGGGGGCCCTTGTAGCCCAGCAATTCTTTTCTTGCAGTGACCAAGTAGATTCCCCAGTGGGAAGTCCACAAGCAAGACTAGAGCGCAAGGCAGTGACATTCTCTTCCCTGCATATCCAGCAACTGGTATTGAGAAACTTTGCTGCTTCCTAACTTTGGAGGCAGAGCCAAGCCGTCAGGGTCAGTAGCCATTGTTGCCTCCGGGAATCGATCTGTACCTACTTTTTATGGATCCCTGCTGTGAGCACCGTTCGATGCCGAATTCTATACATGCACAGGGTGATCACGTGAACTGCGCCTACCTCATCCATGTCTGTGGTTAGCCAGGCATTGCCCCACCCTGACTCACTCCAGCCTAAAGATGAGAAATCGTCCTGGGCTAAACATGCTAAATGGATCGGCAGCACCAACCCAAGCCTTTTTATTTCGCAAGATGATGGCGATGAGTTTTCCTAACCATTCTTCCTTGTCTTTCTCTCCTCCCCCTTCCCCAATGCCCCCAGCAGTTTCCATAACATCTGTTCCACCATGGCTGATGACCTAGACTTCGAGACCGGCGATGCCGGGGCCTCCGCAACCTTCCCCATGCAGTGCTCCGCTCTCCGCAAGAACGGCTTTGTGGTGCTCAAAGGGCGTCCCTGCAAGATTGTGGAGATGTCCACTTCCAAGACCGGCAAGCACGGTCATGCCAAAGTGAGTGTGCCTCGTCGCCCACGGCGGCTGGTGGCTGGTTTGTCTTCGTGGTCCTCTTTGGGGACAGCTCTTGGTGTGGATTTGCATGCTTGGCTAGGGCTGCCATACATCCGGAATTTCCCAGACACAGCCGGAATTTATCCATCGAAAATGGTGTCTTGGCGGGATTTTCGAGAATTGACTAAAATGTGTGGGGAAACCCGGACGTATGGCAGCCCGTGTGTTGATTTTTTTGGTGTTTCCCCTAAAAAATAGCCACAACTCAACAACTTTGGCAAAAGAACCCAAAAACCCTCAATGTCTTTTGTGTCCAGATTTTCACTTTTTGAAATATGGCAACCCTATGCTTGGTACTCCAGCAGGAGTTTGTGCATGTTCACGTGCAGCAATGTTAGAAACTCAGATATATAAGCTAGGGACCAAATTGCTCCTTAAATTGAGGTTACAGTCGCCAAAATGGAATGTCTACTTGCCATTTGGGGGCAAAACGGTTCTTGAGTCTCATTTTTCAAATGATGGACTGACAGTGATTGATTCTTAGTTAAACATCTGGCTAGTTCAGATGACAAACCTTGAGCTAGGTTAAGAACTCTGAGAACTTAAAAAAGAGCAGTCCCTTGATCCAGGCACAGTCCAGATCTATATTGGCCAATCCCTACCTCTTTCTCCTAATGGTGACACAGACCGTCCATCTTCACTTGGTCACTAGTGGCCGATAGCCAGGTGCAAAATGTGCCTGGCTAATTTCAAACCCTGGACCTGTGTAGTAGTTTCACTGTAGTCCTCCAGCTTGCCTTTTATGTTGTGCATCTGGGCAGTTGCCCATGAGCAGGCAAAGCATGTTAAATCAGCTGGCTTTTAAGGAGGAGGAACATCAAAATTGAATGGGTTCTGACACCTGGTCCTTGCTGCCTCCCCTTAGTACATTGGTTCCCAAAGTGGGCGGTACCAGCCCAGAGGGGTGCTAAGAGGCAGGCGGTTGCTGGAGGTGTAATGGACTCTCCTGACTTTGAAAAGCTGATATTACTGAATCACATTAATCATTTTTGTTGAATTAAGCTAAATAGTTTAACTTGGATTTTGAATAAATGTGCAATTAATTGTTCTGGTTTTAAATTTTATTGTGTTATTATCTTCCTTAGTGGGTGGTGCAAACCGCTATTCCGAATAATGCTTTTTATAGGGTAGGGGGCGCTGGGGATGAGTTTGTGGAACCAAGGGGGGAGTGACCTGAAAAAGTCACTGCCTTAGAAGGTGGGGTACGTAGCGCAAAAAAATGCCAGGAGGGCACCAGGTCTGGAGAAGGTGCTGGGCTTAGACAATAAGCCTGGAGCCAGAGGGTTGGTTCTTTACTTCCTCTCCCTGTGACTGTCTGTCTCTCTTTCTGTCCTGGAACAATTTGAACCTCTTGTCGTTCTCTTCTCCATTGCATGCAGCAATGAGATTATTGCTGGCTGAGATTATTGTCTACATTTATAAACAGCCTTTCTTCCAGTGAGTTCAAGGCAGTTTGCAATATGAAATGCTGAAAAGTAAGGCGCAAGGTGGAATGAAAATGTTGTGTGAGGCTTCTTGGGTCTGCAAAGCATTGCTTTCTCCTCCGTCGCCTGCGCTGGTCACCTTTCAGCCACCTGACCTCTGAGGCATGCTGCCATTTAGCTTCTCTATCTCCTGAGATCGTTTTCCAGCCCTTCGCCTCAAGGAACAACTTGCTTTAGAATGCGTTGAGAGGCCTGCTTTTTTGCCAAAAATGCAAGGCAACATATATATATGTTTAATCTCTTGAGCTCTGTTGGCAACAGTAGTTGTAGCCCCAGACATCTGGAGGGCACCGTGTTGAGGAATCCTGGCTAAGTGGTGTACAAAAGTACCCAGAGTTTCTCAGTCTGTCTCCTGGGGCTGTGTTCTCTCCTGTGAAGAGCCAAGAGACCTGCTTTCTTTGCATGTCAGTGGCGTTGTTAAGTCACCGGTAGGCAATGCATTCTGGTGGCTTTTGGAGACTGTCTGGATGATACCTGTACACTTTAGTTTACAAGGTGTGTTTCTTGGTGCCTGCGGCTAATCAGGTTCTTGGGGGCAACCTTTTGTGGGATAATCACTTTAGTACCTGTTTGAATCTCCCCCTGCCCCAGTCAGCGGTTCTCAACCTGTGGGTCCCCAGATGTTGTTGGACTACAACTCCCATCATCCCTGAGCTCTGGCCTTGCTAGCTAGTGGTGATGGGAGTTGTGGTTCAACAGCATCTGGGGACCCACAGGTGAGAAAGGCTGGCTTAGATGGACTTGAAATAGAAACCCAAAAAAAGGGAGGGGGTGTTAAAAGTAATGCTTTGAACTTTGTGGAAGTTCAGCCTCTGAATTAGATAACCTGAAAAGTTAAAGGTGAAAGGCCAGTGGAGAATAGACTGCAAAACGTGGCTGTTGGTATTCCTGATTTATTTGTTTCTTAAAATAAAAAAGGTAAGTATTGAGTGTATAAATAACCCACACCATACTGCAACCCTAATGTGGAAACTGAAGAGAGGGAAGGAAGGAAGGAAGGAAAGGGAAAGAGCTGGAGGCGAGGCCTAGCTGTTGAGGGAGTTCGCAGCTTGACAAGGAGACTGGTGTGCGAGGCGCAGAGAGTCCAGATCGAGCGGAGGTAGATACGGTGCCAGTGGGATGCCAAGGGATCTGGTTGCAGTGGACCAAAGCGTGCCCCTCAGTTCCAGACGGGGTGCGTTTGTGCCTGTGTCTGCCTACCATAAGAGAGAGAGACTGCATCTGTTGAGAAGGGGGCTGGCCTCCCTTCCTGAGACAGAACAAGGACCTTGCCTGTTTCCTCCGGACTTCTCCTGCAGGGAACACCTGGGTGCTTTTTTTAAAAAAAATGTGTCCCCGTTAACATCCTGTCTTCCTCTCCACCCCCACTGTAGGTGCACCTTGTTGGCATAGACATCTTCACTGGGAAAAAATATGAAGATATCTGCCCTTCCACCCACAACATGGATGTGCCCAACATTAAGAGAAATGACTTCCAGGTAGGTGGGTGGAGCTGGGTGGGGTTCACCCCCCCCCCACTTCAGAGATGGGAATCCCGAAAGAAGAGGGTTGGTGTGCACCCGCTATGGCCTGCCTGGCTTGCAAACTGGGTAGACTGCTAGTGGTGGCTGCTGTAGCACGGATAGGCAAAGTGGCCCTCCCACACAGCAGCTGCGGTGGGCAATGGAGGCAGGCTTCTGCCCTTCCAGAGAAATCTTTTTAGCTGTTTTGGCTCCTCTCCCTCAGTTTTGAGCGTTCATATATGATTCTTGCTACCGCTGGATGTGCCCCAGGGACTGTTAGTTTTGTCTCTTGGCGTGGGATTGTTCCCTGACAAATCATCTGCTGTTACAAACTTGGGGTGGTTTCAAAAAGGTGGCAGGCCAAGGCAGCTGGAGGAACAGACACTCCTTCCTTTCCATGCCAAGGTGAACAGGAACAGGTTATTATTGTCTGTTAAAATCAATAGTTTCTTTTCCACTATGGCAACTCAAAGCAGCTTTAAAAAACTGCTTGCATTAAAACCTGTGGGGAGAGTGAAATTCACTAAAATATCTCAAACACTCTAAAAGGCCATATGGGCAGTTAAAGAGGAATTCTTTTGCCTGGTGCCTGAAGATATACAATGATGGCTCCAGGCCAGCCTCCCTGCGGAGAGCATTCTGCAAGCAGGGAGCCACCACTGAAAAGGCCCCGTCCTGTTGCCAAAGTGCTACTTCAGTGAGTTTTTTAAGTCTGGAAGGTGGCCCGATAGCTCAGCGCTGACTGTTCTGCCCTCCTTCCTTCCTTTCCTCCAGCTTATTGGGATCCAGGATGGGTACCTCTCCCTGCTCCAGGACAGCGGGGAAGTCCGGGAGGATCTACGCCTTCCTGAGGGAGACCTGGGCAAGGAGATTGAACAGAAATATGACTGTGGCGAAGAAATCCTGGTAAGAGAACACGTCAGGGGCCGGAGGGGAAGAGGCCTACTGCTGCTGCCGCCCTCCCTCCCTTGGCCCAAGTGATTTGTGTGTTTTGGGGGGGTGTATTTAACAGCAGCATTCCTTAGCCCAGAGAGGCCTGGGATGGCAAAGCATGGTGATGACTGAAAAGCAGGGTAAAAACAAGTTAGAATACCAAATTCCAATCCCAGCCAGATGCAGAAATGATTCCATAAGCCTTAAAATTCTATAAGCACCATGTTTTCCCGTCCAGTGTAACATAAGCAACAGTGGGAACAAATTAAGCTTCGTTAGAGAGGAAGTTGCAAAGTTGAGCTGCCCAGGACCATAGGCGGCCTTGCCTGGGGTTCCCAGCCACCAACTGGGAAGATCTTCTTGCGGGTGGAGTGGAGAAGGCGAGAGAGCATGCCTGGCATTGATCTGAGTGTGCATAAGGCAAAATGCCCTACCACTGCTGTGTCTTTGAGGACATTGGAGATAGACTAATGAAGGAGGAGGGAAAACGGGGCACTGGTCCTCAGCTGCACGGTGGGGTGTTGGACAGCAAACAGAGCAGGTTTCTTCCCTGCTGCTGCTTCAGGTGGCAGGGCTTGGAGCCTTCCCTTGCAGAAGGTCCCAGTGGCATCTTCAGGTGGGAAAAGACCTTTCCCGTATACCTGAAGGAACGTCTCCACCCCCATCGTTCAGCCCGGAAACTGAGGTCCAGCTCCAAGGACCTTCTGGCGGTTCTCTCATTGCCAGAAGTGAGGTTACAGGGAACCAGGCAGAGGGCCTTCTCGGTGGTGGCGCCCACCCTGTGAAACGCCCTCCCTCCAGATGTCAAGGAAATAAACAGCTATCCTATTTTTAAAAGACATCTGAAGGCAGCCCTGTTTAGGGAAGTTTTTAATATTTAATGCTGTATTGTTTTTAACACTCAATTGGGAACCGCCCAGAGTGGCTGGGGAAACTCAGCCAGATGGGCGGCGTATAAATAATAAATTATTACTATTATTATATATTTCTCTGCCTGAAACCCTGGAGAACTGTTGCTGCCAGTTAGAACAGGTGCCCGTGAGCTAGGCAGACTGGTGTGACTCAGTAGAAAACTGCTTCTTACGTACAATACTGGCGGCTTTGGCCTCCTTCGCCTGGAGGTCCTCAAGCAGAACCCGGATGCCCATTGTGGATCATGCTTGGTCTGGGGCTAGCAGGACCTCACGACGGCTGGGCTCTGCTTCCACAGTCGGGAGGCAGCGATGCTGCTGAACGTTGCTTGCTGAGAACCGCAGGAGGAGGGAGGGCTGTTCTGGCACTCGGATCCCGCTTGTGGGTTTCCCATAATGATCATCTGGTTGGCCACTGTGAGAACAGGATGGTGGACTAGAGGGGGCCATTGGCAAGAGCCCTCCCTTTCCCCCCCCCCAATAATATTTATTATTTTCAGTAGGTAAACATAATAAAAAAGAAGAGATTAATAATAATAAAGACAAACAAAAAATAGGGAAAAAAAGGAGAAAAAATAAAAAAGATACATACAACATATTGCCACTTAAATAATTAAAATTAAGTACCATCCATCTTCAGAAACATAGTATTTGACTTCCTTGAATCTCTTCCATCCGAATTTCTTAGTAATTATATGTAGCAGTTTCCAATATCAGTGTTTCAAAAAACCATATCACAGTCCTAATCATATTACATAACTTTCCTTATCGTACATTTTCTTATTTGTAAATTTAATTCCATTTTAATCCTAGGCCTAATTGTTTCTTTCAAGTGGTTACATATCTTTAAGAGCCCTCCTTCCCTTCTAAGCTCTTGATTCTTGCTTGCTTGCTTGCTTCCTCCCTCCTCAGATCACCGTACTGTCTGCAATGACCGAGGAAGCTGCAGTTGCTATCAAGGCCATGGCTAAATAAAGGAACCACAGGTGAGTGCAGACCCAGATTGGAAGGATGTTGTCCTGCTCGCTCGAGATGGAAGGGGAACGTGCAAGGCTTTTGCGAGAGATGGGAGAGGAGTCGTCTCTTACCTTCCTGCCACTGTCACCAACCCCTGTCACCAACTTCTCTTCTTTCTCTCCCACCTTGCAGGGCAGCAGTTTCAACTTGTTATGAACCAGAGAGGATCGCAACCCGCAGACTGTCAGATTTGGCTCCAAACCACCCAAATCTCTCTTTTTTTTTTTTCTTTCCCCCCCTCCTCTAAAAAGCAAAAAAAGGACAAAAAAGCAAAACCCTCCCACACCCACTCACTCCCTTTTGAATTAAAACAAAAGAAAAGAAACTTTTTTGTGGTCTTTTTAAAAGCAGAAAAGCTGGACGCTTAATTGTATTCCTTTTGTTATTATTTCACTTGTTTTGGTCCCCCTCTCGCCCCGGTCCTCCCAGTCCCCCTCCCCTCTCTCGGGTGCTAGTAACACTACAGTTGTTTTCTGGCAAGAGAAGTTGAGAATTTGCACTTAAAAAAAGGAAGAAAAAAAAGAATAATATTTAAACGGCTAGAAGGAGGGGGGGAAATTGCAGGAGACTCTTGTTGATTTTTTCTCTCTCTCAAGTTTTAATGCTTTCTGTTAAGATTGGTGGCAGCGCTGAGGAGGGAGCTGCCTTTCCCCCCAGAACGACAAACTGAGCAAAAATTAGAAAAAATTTACCGTTGCGAATTGCGAAGAGTCGCACTCTTAACCCTGTCAAATGTGTTTGTTCTCGTGAGCGTTTTCTGTTGAGGCAATGTGGGAAGGGGAGGCACGGCACCCTCTGCCGTCGGACGCCCCCCCCCCAGCCCCCGCATAGTGATGGTTGCGGCAATTTGGTAAATTCTTTTGGGACGGCATCCTTTCTTGTGCTTTGGAGGTTAACCCATTAAATGTGGTTTTTTTGTGGGGGCGGCGGGATCACTGCTCTAGTTGCTGAGCTTGCTTAAAACTCCCTTCTTTAACCCCTTCCCTTCTAGAGCACAGAAGCCCCCCCCCTCCCCAGATCTGGAAGTGGGGGGCAGGCGGTGTTCCTGCCAAAGGCACGGAGCTCTGCCCCCCCCGAAATGGGAGGAGAAACCCGCTCGCGGCTGCCTGGCGAATGACACACTTCTCTCTCTTTTTTTGCCCCTCGCCCTCATCCCACCTGGGCTCTGATCCCTGTCAATCATGTTCAAGGACCCCCCCCCCTTTTCCCTGGCAACCAGTGCTGTCGCTGCCTCCCTTCTGTCCTTGGAGCTAGCTAGAAAGTCTCTAGCACGCACCCCCCACCCTTCCGCCTCAAGCCCTTTTCCCCAGGCTGGGTAACTGCGCATCCCCCACCTACGAGCTGTTCATGGTAAGGGGGTCTTCTGGGGTAGGTAACAAACTAGCCCCCACCCCACCCGCTGCCCATTTCCTTGGTTCATATTTACTCCCCTCTGCTGTTCACAGGTCAGCGCTGTGGCCTCCTCCTCCCTCTCCCCCTGTTAATCCAACACATTTGTTAATCAACCTCAATAAAAAAAAACAAGTTTAATATGAAAAACCCTTTTCTGGCTGTGTGTGTGTGTAATTTGTAAGGGACCGGGGCGGGGGTTACGTTATCGGCAAGTTCATTAAAACTACTGCATTATCATAGAATTGCAGAGTCATCCAGTCCAGCCCTCTAAAATGCAATGTACCATCATTTGCAACCGGGTGGCAGCCTTTTCCTGGGGCCAGTAGCTGATCGACATTCCCCAAAAAGGAAGCTCATGGAAGCTTAAGACTGCACTCACTGCAGGGACAGGTGCTAGATGAGGCAAAGGGGGGGGGGGGAGTGTAAAAATTTTTAAATTTAATTTCAGTTCTGTGTGTGTGTTTTTTTGAGAGCCAGTGTGGTGTAGTGGGTAAGAGCAGTGGACTCGTAATCTGGGGAACCGGGTTCGCGTCTCCGCTCCTCCACATGCAGCTGCTGGGTGACCTTGGGCCAGTCACACTTCTTTGAAGTCTCTCAGCCCCACTCACCTCACAGAGTGTTTGTTGTGGGGGAGGAAGGGAAGGGAGAATGTTAGCCGCTTTGAGACTCCTGTGGGTAGTGATAAAGCGGGAGATCAAATCCAAGCTCCTCCTCCTCTTCTTTCTTTTCTTTTTTACAGTACAGTCATACCTCATGTTACGTTCTTTCAGGTTACGTCCTGCGGCGACTCGGAAGTACTGGAAAGGGTTACTTCCGGGTTTCACCGCATGCGCAGAAGCGCAAAATAACGTCACACGCATGCACAGAAGCGGCGAATCGCAACCCGCACGTGCGCAGACGCGCCACTGCGGGTTGCGTTCTTTTCATGTTGCAAACACAACCAGAGGTACCATTGTATTAAAATGTGGAGGTTTCATAAAGATATGTGCCTCTCTTTCTTGTCCTGACCCATGAGGTTTTCCCTCCTGCATTGAGAGTTTCATAGGATTTTTGTTCAACAAACTATCTGGAATATTTGTTTTTGATGACTGTGACGACAGGGCAGTTCTCAGAAGCCAGCTCTGAAAATTTAAAATTTCCTGATATCATTACGTGTTAATAACCGAGGGTGGCATAGGGAGAAAAGAAAGATTACTTGTCACGTTAAGCTCAACCTTACTGGCGAGGGGCCAATGTCTTTGCCGCGTGTTTAACGGACAAAATGTCTCAAACCAAAGGCCAGTGGCTGTTTGTACCCCACGCCCATTAGTGAAACTGGAGCAGGGAAAAGCAGGCTTTTTGCCTCTCCGTACAAAATGGAGGGCAGTCCTTTTATGTACAGAAGCAGGAGTGGAAAACACGACCCGTGGGTCAGCTGCCGTCTGAAAAACATTGGTATCGCAGCTTTGAACAATGGGCAGTAAATTTACATACATTTCGCTTTTAACCTGACCTGCGAGTGCGCTTGGAACCACAGCTACTGCAGGTGCAAACACAAAAAAAAGCTGCTTTTCCTAGAAATGGGGGACTAGGGAGGCGGGACTGACAGCAGGAAAGCACTTTGGACCCTTTGCTCCTGGCAGGATCAGCTGAACAAGCCTTTAGGTCTCTTCCCACTGACCTGCCCCAAAGTTCGAAAACGGCCTGTTTATACTCTTTAAAAGCTGGTGGCCTTCAGACATGTTTAGACTACAACTCCCATCGGTCATTAGCCAAGACATCCGGTCCAGAACGTGATGGGCACCAGCTCGGGAGAAGTGTCATACTAAATTATGAACGACGTGCAAAATTTACTTGCTTTGCATACACTTGATTTTAGGGAAGCCACACTGTTTCCTTCCCTCCCTCTTAGAAATACAAATGAGAGTCCACTACCTTCCGGTCAGCTCTTGCTGCTCCAAAATTCTTCCTAATGTTTAGCCAGACTCTCCCGATTTCTGTTATTGGGGCAAGATAGGAAGGGGGGGTGGGGTGGAACAGACACGTGCACCGCTGAACGCTCCTCGAATTATACAAAGTTTTATTTAGAGTGCAATCTCTGTTTTCACAAATTACAGCGAAGAGAGAAGGGGAGAATAAAGCCACACACATGGTCATCCCACGTATATTTTCTTCCTTTGCGCTGGGACTTGGGCTGAGGGGGGGATGTCGAAGCAACAAGAGAGCAGGGCGGGGCCCTCACTTGTGGTAGAAGCGCTGGCCCTGTTGCGGGTGCTGGATGAACGGGTGGCGAGGTGCCGGCTGCGGAGAGGCCTGGAAACCAGACTGCAAGAGGGGAGAGAAAGAGATGTTAAAGGAAAGAAGTTTTCAGTGTACAGCGGTACCTTGGTTCTCAAAACGCCTTGATTCCCAAACACCGAAAACCCAGAAGGAAGCGTTCCGGTTTTCGAATGTTTTTGGGAAGCTGAACGTCCGATGCGGCTGTCAGCTATTCGTTTCCGGGGCGCCTGCACCAATCAGAAGCTGCCCCTTGGTTTTTGAACATTTCGGAAGTCAGATGGACTTCCAGAACGGATTAAGTTTGGCGCTTTTGTTTTTGCTATTTGTTTTGCGTTTCTGTTTTGGGGGCTTTTCGGTTAATTTGTTTTTGTGACTGTGTGAAACCCAGTCTACTGATTGATTGATTGATTGCGTGACTGTGGAAATAGATAAAAGCCCCCCCATCCAAACAATGACTATCAGCAGGTAAGAATTTTTTTAAAAAAATTATCATTACAATACTGTTATTTTATAGTACAGTACATTGTTTATTAGGGACGCGGGTGGCGCTGTGGGTTAAACCACAGAGCCTAGGGCTTGCCAATTGGAAGGTCAGTGGTTCAAATCCCCGCAACAGGGTGAGCTCCCGTTGCTCAGTCCCCTGCTCCTGCCAACCTAGCAGTTCGAAAGCACGTCAAAGTGCAAGTAGATAAATAGGTACCACTCCGGTGGGAAGGTAAACGGCGTTTCCATGCGCTGCTCTGGTTCGCCAGAAGCGGCTTAGTCCTGCTGGCCACATGACCCGGAAGCTGGACACTGGCTCCCCTGGCCGATAAAGCGAGATGAGCGCCGCAACCCCAGAGTCGGCCACGACTGGACCTAATGGTCAGGGGTCCCTTTACCCTTACATTGTTTATTGCTTTCATCTTACAGATCAAAGGCCACATTAGATAGTAAAATTCATGTTAAATTGCTATTTTAGGGGTTGTTTTTAAAAGTCTGGAACAGATTAATCCGTTTTGCATTACTTTCTATGGGAAAGCGCCCCTTGGTTTTGGAACAGACTTCCGGAACGGATTAAGTTTGAGAACCAAGGTACCACTGTATATGAATTAACGGTCACAACCGGAAGGTTGTACAGCAATCTCTCATCTTAATGCAGGGGTTCGGTTCCTAGCGCTAAGTGGAAATCGTGGAGGGTCCAACCCTTAGAATTGCCTAATGGGTGAGAGGGAGAGCGAGAGACAGCTTGTAAACTGAGCTGGAAGGCAGGGAGATAAAACGCTCTTTGTGCCAGCGTAATCCCGGCTCTCCACCTCACTTGGGACTCAACTTGCACTTTTCCAACCGGCCTGCCTTCAACCGTGCGTGGTTGACATCACACCCATTGAGTGCGCAGCAAGATGGGGGGTTACCGCCTTCGGTTTTCAGGCTGCTGGATGGAAACTCCCAGTACGTTTCCGAGCACAATTCAAAGTGTTGGTGCTGACCTTGAAAGCCCTAAACGGCCTCAAAGGCCCAGTAGACCTGAAGGAGCGTCTCCACCACCATCGTTCTGCCTGGACACTGAGGTCCAGCAGCTCCGAGGGCCTTCTGGCGGTTCCCTCATTGTGAGAAGTGAGGTTATAGGGAACCAGGCAGAGGGCCTTCTCGGTGGTGGCGCCCGCCCTGTGGAACGCCCTCCCACCAGATGTCAAGGAAATAAGCAACTACCTGACTTTTGGAAGACATCTGAATGCAGCCCTGTTTAGGGAAGCTTTTAATATTTGATGAATTATTGTATTTTAATATTTTGTTGGAATCTGCCCAGAGTGGCTGGGTAAACCCAGCTAGATGGGTGGGGTATAAATTTATTATTATTATTATTATTATTATTATTATTATTATTATTATTATTAATGTGTCTGGAGGGCCCGTGGGGTGCCGGTCAGGCTGTGGGCAGTCAGAGTGTCTCCTCTTTGATTCCTCTTGCGCACGACACAGTGCTCCTGCCCTGGCCAAAAGATCACCTCCTCCCAGCCTCATCGAGTGTGCCTTCATGAGTTTATCATCTGTGTGCTAAATCAAGCAGGCCAAGGGCATAGCAGGGAGGAATTCTTGGTGCCGGCCTGTGGAACTCCCTTCCCCTGGAACTTTGCCAAGCAGCCAGCACTATAAACCTCTCCGTTTCTCTCTGTCCCTCCCCAACCCACCTTCCAGTCTACGCGGAAACGGTTCAAAGCAGCAAAGGGTTCAGACCGTACCAAACACGGAGCACGACAAGGTTGCCCTCCTGTTAAGGGCCGCAGATTATTTTTAATAAAATGAAGCCAGCCAGGCCTTCCACACTGCCCACACCTTTGGCGATGTTGTGCTTCGGTTTGTTTAACCTCTGCTGCTGTTTTTCATACCGAAACTAGGCTCAAGAATCCTACCGGTAGTTTCATGCTGGTATGTTTGTCTGATCGGTTTATCTTTTTAATAGAAAGGTAGAGTAAAAATCCTGAAATCGCGAACGGATTGTCTGAACTCTTTTCCCCCAGGAAAAGTCAGAAATACAGTTGTATTTAAAAAAAATAAAATACAATGGTACCTTGGTTCTCAAACTCCAAAAACCTGGAAGTGTTCTGGTTTTCGAACATTTTTCGGAAGCTGAACAGCCGATGCGGCTGTTGGCTATTGTTTCCGGGGCACCTGCACCAATCAGAAGCTGTCCCTTGCTTTTTGAACATTTCGTTTTTGCTATTTTGCGTTTTTGAGGCTTTTTGGTTTAATTTGTTTTCGTGACTGTGTGGAAGCCAGTTCGATTGATCGATTGTGTGACTGCGGAAATGGATAAAAGCCCCCCATCCAAACAATGACTATCATCAGCGCAGGTAAGAAAAAAAAGTAATTAATACTGTCTTATTTATAGTACAGCATATTGATTATTGCTTTCATTTTATGGATCCATGGTCTCGTTAGATAACAAAATTCATGTTAAATGGCTGTCTTAGGGGTTGTTTTCCAAAGTCAGGAACGGATTAATCCGTTTTGCATTCCTTTCTATGGGAAAGCGCGCCTTGGTTTTGGAACGCTTTGGTTTTGGAACGGACTTCTGGAACGGATTAAGTTGAGAACCAAGGCACCACTGTAAAACAAATGCAGTGTTGTATTCTAGTAAAGGTAAAGGGACCCCTGACCATTAGGTCCAGTCGTGGCCGACTCTGGGGTTGCGGCGCTCATCTCGCTTTATTGGCCGAGGGAGCCGGTGTACAGCTTCCGGGTCATGTGGCCAGCATGACTATGCCGCTTCTGGTGAACCAGAGCAGCGCACGGAAACGCCATTTACCTTCCTGCCAGAGCGGTACCTATTTATCTACTTGCACTTTGACGTGCTTTCGAACTGCTAGGTTGGCAGGAGCAGGGACCGAGCAACGGGAGTTCACCCCGTCGCAGGGATTCAAACCACCGACCTTCTGATCAGCAAGCCCTAGGCTCTGTGGTTTAACCCACAGCGCCACCCGTGCCCCCTTGTATTCTAGTAGCCCCGCATAAACTGATGCGCCTAAGTTGGCGGCATCCGACACGGAAGTCTGGTTGGCGGTGGTTCTGCTGGGGATTGGCCTTCTCAATGGGGGCTCCCCATCTGCAGAATGACCCCAACCTCAGACTGTACAGAGGCCAGAGGCTCACTAGGGAGGAGAGACCCTCTGCATGCGCTCAGAGATACTGCTATCCGACCTAACCAGAAGAGTCCGCGACCAGACGGAGGAGGAGTATCGGGAAGAGTGGATTAAATTTAATGATTATTTAGTTAAATATGTTAAGTTAAATTAACTGAAAACAGCTTGCAGTTACTTAATTGGCTTAGGATTTTATTTATGTTACGTGATGAATTAATATGTTTAATTCCATAATGTGAATATTTAAGGATGTTAATGTTTAAGTTAAGTTTCATAAAAATTGTGATTTGGAAAACCGTTAATAGGACATGCAATGAAATTCAACCAAGGAGAAGCGAGGAAGTGTAATTTTCAATAAGGTTATGATTTATGTTTGTTTGTCTTGTGTATTTGCTTGTTTATAAAACTGTGAAAACCAATAATATTTTTTTTGAAAAAACCCCCAGAGGTACTGCTGTGGTACGACAAGGCTTGGGATTGAGCGCTGCTCCCCGCACCCAGCCAGCGAGATACTTACTGTGTGGGGTTGCTGTGGGGTGGTTCCGTGGGAGAAGCTGCCAGGGGAGGCTGGGCGAGCCGGGTGGGTGTACGCCAAACTGGGCTATAAGGGAGAGAAAGCGGGTGGGGGGGGCAAAATCAGCGAGCAGGAGAGAAAGGGGCTGGGTGTCGCGACGGCGGTGGGAGAGGCACCCACCTGGGACGAGGAAAAGGAAGGCAAAATTCACAACAGGCCGAAAACAAGAGGAACCATGACAACACATTATGGGCACGGAAAACCGCGTAACTGAGAATCACTGGGAAGAGGGGGAGTAGAAGCAGGAAGAGGGGCAAGGCGCCTTCAGGTTCTGAGCTTACCTTGGCAGCTGTCTGCATCTGGACAGGGATTTGGGGAGCTTGTAAGAGGCCCTGGTTCGGGTGCAAGGCTTGGGGGTGCATCGGGCGTAGGGTCGACTGGAGAGGAAAGGACAAGAGAGAGCAGAGGAATTAGACCACCTCCCAAGGTGAGAGGGAATGCACTCTGCACATGCGCTGGTTATTTCACGGCCGAGTCCCGGCAAGCAAACGTTCTTCCCAGGCTCCTGTCCGAATTTAAAATTTACCCCTCTGTGCAGTTAGAAACAGTCAAGAACGGCTGCATTCGCACCGCTGCGACGCCATTTTTATACAGTCATGGCTTTCCCCCAAAGGATTCTGGGAGATGAGGGTCTTAATTTTTTTATTGGAGACCCGTATCCTCCTCAGAGAGGTATTTCAGAGTGGTCCTGTATACCTGAAGGAGCGTCTCCACCTCCATCGTTCTGCCTGGACACTTGTGTTCTAGTAAAGGGAAAGGGACCCCGGACCGTTAGGTCCAGTCGTGGCCGACTCTGGGGTTGCGGCGCTCATCTCGCTTTATTGGCCGAGGGAGCCGGTGTACAGCTTCTGGGTCATGTGGCCAGCATGACTAAGCCGCTTCTGGCGAACCAGAGCAGCGCACGGAAACGCCGTTTACCTTCCCGCCGGAGCGGTACCTATTTATCTACTTGCACTTTGACGTGCTTTCGAACTGCTAGGTTGGCAGGAGCAGGGACCGAGCAACGGGAGCTCACCCCGTCGCGGGGATTCGAACCGCCGACCTTCTGATCGGCAAGTCCTAGGCTCTGTGGTTTAACCCACAGCGCCACCCGAGTCCCATACTGACTACTTAGGTTTGCGGCTGCTTCCCTGATGACGTACCACTGCCGTTTGGTTTTTAAAAATATTGTTAGCCATCTCTTAAGACCTCTGTGGGATAGCCCAGTCGGTAAGAGCATAGGGTTCTTCATCTCGTGGCCACGAGTTCGAGTCCCACGTTGGGGCCAGAAGATTCCTGCATTCCAGGGGGCTGGTGACCCCCGGGGTCCCTTTCCAACTCTACAAAAGAGCACGGACATTTTCAGAGAGCGATGCTCTGGGTGTGAACTCACCGAATCGGTAAATCCCGACTGCTGGTTTGCGTGCTCCAGTTGTTTCTGCAGAGGGATGGCCGTGCTGGGAGGAATGAAACCTGGAAAGGGAAGGTTGAAAGAGCTAAGCGTGAGCCTTGCAAGGAAAGAAACAGGGCCTGGGAAGAAGTGTAGGGCTCGTTCATTTTCTCTTTCCTTTTCGGACATCTCCCAGCGCAGCTCCCCTGCCATCTCATGTCCATGGAGGCGCAGGTCAACTCTGTGTCCAGGGCAGCTGTCTGCCAGCTCCATCTGGTACGCAGGATGAGACCCTCCCTGCCCACAGACTGTCTCATCACAGTGGTGCATGCTCTGGTTATCTCCTGCTTGGACTTCTGCCATGTGCTCTACGTGGGGCTACCTTTGAAGGTGACTTGGAAACTACAACTAATCCAGAATGCGGCAGCTAGACTGGGGACTGGGAGTGGCAGCCGAGACCACATAACACCGGTCTTGAAAGGCCTACATTGGCTCCCAGGACGTTTCCAAGCACAATTCAAAGTGTTGGTGCTGACCTTGAAAGCCCTAAACGGCCTCAAAGGCCCAGTAGACCTGAAGGAGCGTCTCCACCTCCATCGTTCTGCCCAGACACTGAGGTCCAGCTCCGAGGGCCTTCTGGTGGTTCCCTCCCTGCGAGAAGTGAAGTTACAGGGAACCAGGCAGAGGGCCTTCTCGGTGGTGGCACCTGCCCTGTGGAACGCCCTCCAGTCGGATGTCAAGGAAATAAACAATTACCTGACTTTTGGAAGACATCTGAAGGCAGCCCTGTTTAGGGAAGCTTTTAATGTTTGATGAATTATCGTATTTTAATATTTTGTTGGAATCTGCCCAGAGTGGCTGGGGAAAACCAGCCAGATGGGTGGCGTATAAATAATAATAATAATAATAATAATAATAATAGGATTTACCAACCCCCGGCATGCTCTGGTCCATGGGGTCACGAAGAGTCGGACATGACTAAACAACTGCAGACTTATTATTAAGATTTGCCAGCCATTCTGCAGACTTACCAGGCTGAGCCGTGGGGAAGTGGCTGTGGATTGTGTAGCCGGGCTGCTGTTGCGGCAAGTACTGCATGGTGGGGAAAGCAGAAGGCCCTGGAAGGGAAAGGAGAGGGGGGTGAAAGCCCGGCCTGCTCTGCCCCCGCCTCCCATGCCACGGAGGGAAAGGGATGCAGCGTGGCACCCGATCGCCCACGGGCTCCATCCTCACCTCGGATCGACTGGCTGCTGGCGTAGCTGACGGGCACCGTGTGCTGGCTCTGCCCCACGGCATAAGGGCTGTGCCCAGACTGCCCGCCTTGGTACTGACCGTGCTCTGCCGTGCTGGCGGGGAAAGTCGGCTGCGTGGCAAAGTGGCGAGACTGGGGAGACAAAGCAAGCACAGAGACGTCCCTTAGGGTTACCGCGAGGTGCACCAAATCTGCCTCACAACTAACCGCTTTGTCTTATTTGCCACGCGACGTACTTTTGTGTTTCCCTGCCGTAAACGGGCCTGTGGCGCTCGGAAGGAAGGGCGGTATATCAGTTTAATAAGTCACTATCATAACAGCAGCAATAGCCAAGGCAGGGCTGCCGCCACCCGCCATTTTGAAAGGGGAGCCATTTTGTGAGGGAAGAACTACCCGTTTTGTCTTGTGTATCTAGGGGGGGCCATATGCAGAATACTGCAGTCGGAAGCATCCGGGAGGAAATCGGAAAAATATCTGGAGAAATCCAGACGCATGGCAACCCTGGTCGGCAGTGTTGTTTGTGCCAATTTCCCTTAAAAATAGCTCCAAAACGACAATTTTTGTTGAGGTTTTGCCAAAAACAACAACTTCCTCCCAAGCTCAACAGCTTTTGTGTCCGGATTTTCACTTTTTGAAACACGGCAACCCTAGTTTATCATGTTATGTGGTTTTATACTGCAAACGGGCCTGTGGTCCTTGGGATCGAGGGCAGGATATAAATTTAAATAACAACCACCGCGACAATAGAAAAGGCAGCGCTGCCACCGTCCACCATCTTGTGAGGGAACATTTGGAGGAGAACGTTTGATTCTGCTCATGAAAAGCAAAATATAACCACTTCCTAGGGGGAAAAGAAAACTGTGTTCAGCCCCTGGCACGGTTCTCGCTCGCTTAGGCAGGCCTGCCTTGACGTGGCATTTTAACGTGCGATTTTTATTACGTATCATTTGTTTTAGATACATGGCTTTTACTTCTGCTCTGATAAATCTTACATCAATTTGGCTTCATATATCAGGCATGTGCAACTAGTCAATTGCGGGGCTTTCCTGGTCGATCGTGTGATCCTGGTTGATCACCTCCCAAAAAAAAGCTCCACAATGGTCAATCCAATGGGTAGATCACTGCCAGCTTTTTTATATAGTGGGAGTAGATCACAGTCTCTTGGTCATGAGTAGGCAAACTAAGGCCCGGGGGCCAGATCCGGCCCAATCGCCTTCTCAATCCGGCCTGTGGATGGTCCGGGAACCAGCGTGTTTTTACATGAGTAGAATGTGTCCTTTTATTTAAAATGCATCTCTGGGTTATTTGTGAGGCATAGGAATTCGTTCTCCCCCCCCCCCCAAAATATATAGTCTGCCCCTCCACAAGGTCTGAGGGACAGTGGACCGGCCCCCTGCTGAAAAAGTTTGCTGACCCCCTGCTCTTGGGAGTTGGACATGCCTGTTTTATATTACCAGTTTTTCAAACAAATATTTCACATTGCATTTTGCAAACTGCTTAGGAGGTTTCTGCTGATTAAGCAACGTGCCCCTATTGCCAAATAAATTACCGTATTTTTCGCACCATAAGACGCACCTAGTTTTTGGAGGAGGAAAACAAGAAAAAAATATTCTGAATCCCAGAAGCCAGAACAGCAAGAGGGATCGCTACGCAGCGAAAGCAGAGATCCCTCTTGCTGTTCTGGCTTCTGGGATAGCTGCGCAGCCTGCAATCGCTCCATAAGATGCACACACATTTTCCCTTGCTTTTTTAGGAGGGAAAAAGTGTGTCTTATAGAGCAAAAAATACGGTAATAAATTCTTTGAGGAATACTATGACTTCAGTGTTGAACAAAGAGATCTGGTCTTTCCTGGAACAACTGGGGGGCGGGAGGCACTCACTGTGATCACTGGAGGTCCAAACATCTGCTTGGCTCTATCGGCGGATATCAAGGTGCCAGCCCGGTTATGGCCTCCGGGGCTCCCTGTGGAGAAAGGGAAGAAATCCCATTGACATCAACCCCTCCAAGCCATCCAGAGGGTGAGAAAACTCCTTCCCAAAGGGGTGGAGGGTCAAGTCTTCTCTTTCCTCCAATAAAAGACTCTCCGGAAGGGTGATGTGACGCACTATTTAATTGGGATCCGCCATTATGGGACAGAGATAAACAGTCATGGGGGAGGCGAGTTCTTAATTTGTTATCATATCTGTGCTTCAAGCCCAAATTGGCAAATCTCCCCTGAAAGACTAATGTTTGATGCAACCTGTCTGAGAAAATGAATGAGCAAACGCCTAGATTTTATTTCATCGGAACTGAGTGAAGATGGCGTCTGCCACCAGAGAAGGACTTTTGGATTGATTTGGCATAAACACCAGCGTGTGAGGACATATTGCGAACGACAGACTTATCAGCTGCAAAAAAAAAAAAGGAGAGTCATACAAACTTCACACAGAAGCCCATTATTGTTTACTCCAGCTCGCCTGTGCAAACAACGCAGAGGCCATGAAGGAAGGAAGGATAACAACAGGAAGATTTAAAGAAGGAACTATTGGAAACTCAAGGTAGTAGAAACATAAGATGATTGGAACCCCACTGAACTTGAAGCATGGGAAGCCCCAACAAAAACTTATAATTTGGCAGAATATTTGGACTATATGAGATGTATTTGTATAATTTGGAAAGTGTAATGTGATCTGATTGGATTGTTAAAATGGAAAACTTAATAAAAATTATTTTTTAAAAAAAAGTCTTCGCTTTCCTCCGCTCTCCCCTCTCCCATACCTGCAATCCTAACAAGGGAGGCACCTCAGAGGCTTTATACATGGAATGTCCTGGGTTCGATTCCCGACATCTCTCGCTAAAACTGGACCGCAGGTAGAGACTGGCGGCCCGATTCAGCACAAGGTGACTTCAGGTGAGGAAAGCACACCTGCCTGATCCGTGGCCGAACTCTACGCGAATCCTTTCAATGCGCCGCCGACGTGGCCAAAAAGAAACGCACCTTGCATGTTGAGGATGTGAGCCCCTGCATGGACGGCCATTCCTTGCTGGTAAGCGGCTGCCGTCAGCGTCGTCATGTCGCTGTGGACAGGAGGAAGGAGGTCAATAAATCGCCTGCAATAATGGCGGTGAAGAAACCCAACTCAGAAAGAAACTTGATCTTTGCCGGCGCCTGCTCTTGCCATTCGCTGCCCCTTTTGCACAAGGCAGTCGTTGGCTGCCTTCAAGGTTTCCCACACATTGTGATTTTTGCGTACCGCACACACACAACACAATTCACAAAATATTGCCAGGTCAAAAATTACGAAGCTGATACAGTCGTACCTCAGAAGTCGAATGGAATCCGTTCCTGAAGTCCGTTCTGACTTCCAAAACGTTCAGAAACCAAGGCGTGGCTTCCGATTGGCTGCAGGAAGCTCCTGCAGCCAATCAGAAGTTGCAGAACCCGCGTCGGACGTTCGGGTTCCAAAGAACGTTTGCAAACCGGAACACTCACTTCCGGGTTTGCGGCGTTCAGGAACCAAAACGTTTGAGTCACAAGGCGTTCAAATTCTGAGGTACGATTGTATCATGATATGGACTTCAAACCGGTTTTGGACGGTACATGAACGTAATTATTTTATTCTTTTAATTTCTATATCACTTTATATTTTTAAGAAAAAGCTCAAAGCGGTTTACAGCAGGGGTCGGCAAGGATTACCTCGCCTGGGTGAGCTCACTCCCGCGGAGATCGCTCCATGGGCTGGATCGTGTCAACTGAGTCCCCGCTCTGCGCTGTGCTGGTTTAGCGCAGTGTGCAGTGACTCGCTGAGCAAGCGGCTTGGTTCAGCAGTGGCTAGTGGGCCGTTTAAACAACCCCCATGGACGGCTTATGGCCCATGGACCACAGGTTGCTGACCCCTGGTTTACAGCATATTGAATCAATAAAACATAAATAAAACAATCTGAAGAAAATCAAATACAGTGGTACCTCGGGTTAAGTACTTAATTCATTCCGGAGGTCCGTTCTTAACCTGAAACGGTGCTTAACCTGAAGCACCACTTTAGCTAATGGGGGCCGCCTGTTGCTGCCGCGCCGCCGGAGCCCGATTTCTGTTCTCATCCTGAAGCAAAGCTCTTAACCTGAAGCACTATTTCTGGGTTAGCAGAGTCTGTAACCTGAAGCGTCTGTAACCTGAAGCGTATGTAACCCGAGGTACCACTGTATACAGCCAAAGCAACATAACATCGCCCAGCCTTATGTGGAGACCAGCATTGCAAGCATGCCCACACCACAGCTACGGGCAGTTTTATTTTCAATTCCTTGCCTAATAACTCCTAAGCACGGAATTTGCCTTTTTCACAGCGGCCAAACACTGGCTCAACATCTCCACGTGGCTCCTGCTCAGTCACAGCCAGTTCAGAACCCACAAACATGGCCCAGCGTGCATCGCTAGACGCTTGTTATCCCACCAACCTTTGCTCCTTGCGCCGTCGTTTCTCCTCCTCGTGAAGCACTTTTTTCAGCTGAAGGAAAAGCTGGTGCTTCTCCTCCTGTAGGGCGAGCAGTTTCTCTTCCAGCTTCATGATCTGCGGGTGGAAAAGGGGTCGGAGGTGAGCTGGGATGTCTCCAGGGACGGAGAAGAAGAGTTTGGATTTGATATCCCGCCTTTCACTCCCCTTCAGGAGTCTCAAAGCGGCTAACATTCTCCTTTCCCTTCCTGTCCCACAACAAACACTCTGTGAGGTGAGTGGGGCTGAGAGACTTCGGAGAAGTGTGACTGGCCCAAGGTCACCCAGCAGCTGCATGTGGAGGAGCGGGGAATCGAACCCGGTTCACCAGATTACGAGTCTACTGCTCTCAACCACTACACCACACTGGCTCTCTCACACTGGAGGCCTCCCAAAACACAGGGCCGCCCCACAGACCTGCTCCTTCGTCTCCTCCAGGGACATCCGCTCTTCCATCTCCTTCTTCCGACGCCTCTCCTGTTCCTCCTTCATCTTCTGCTCCATCATCTTGTCGACTTCTTCCTCCTCTGCAGGACAAGGGGGAAAGGCATAATAATAATAATAATAATAATAATAATAATTTATACCCTGCCCATCTGGCTGGGTTTCCCCAGCCACTCTGGGCTGCTTCCAACAGAATATTAAAACATAATAATCTATTAAACATTAAAAGCTTCCTGAAATGCAACTTCCATGGAGCCTCAATTCAGTTCAAGACTTCTTCAGGTTCTGCACTACTTAGGCAGGAAGAACCAGTTGCACAAATATAAAATGGCGGACACCTGGCTTGCCAGTAATCCTTGTGAAAAGGATCTAGGGATCTTGGTGGACCACAAGCTTAACATGAGCCCACAATGTGATGCAGCAGCAAAAAAGGCCAATGCTATTCTAGGCTGCATCAATGGAAGTCTAGTGTCCAGATCAAGGGAAGGAATAAGGTAAAAGGACCCCTGACCATTAGGTCCAGTCGTGGCTGACTCTGGGGTTGCGGCGCTCATCTCGCTTTATTGGCCGAGGGAGCCGGCGTCCAGCTTCCGGGTCATGTGGCCAGCAGGACTAAGCCGCTTCTGGCGAACCAGAGCAGCGCACGGAAACGCCGTTTACCTTCCCGCCGGAGCGGTACCTATTTATCTACTTGCACTTTGATGTGCTTTCGAACTGCTAGGTTGGCAGGAGCAGGGACCGAGCAATGGAAGCTCACCCCGTCGCAGGGATTCGAACTGACGACCTTACGATCGGCAAGCCCTAGGCTCTGTGGTTTAACCCACAGTACCACCCGCATCCCAAGGGAAGGAACAGTCCCGCTCTATTCTGCCTTGGTCAGACCACACCTGGAAGACGGTATCCAGTTCTGGGTACCACAATTTAAGGAGGATACTGGCAAGCTGGAACATGTGCAGAGGAGGGTGACCAAGATGGTCAAAGGTCTGGAAAACAAGCCTTATGAGGAACGGTTGAAGGAATTGGGTATGTTGAGCCTGGAAAAGAGGGAACTGGGAGGAGATCTGACAGCCACCTTCAAATCTCTGAAGGGCCGTCGCATGGAAGATGGAGCAATCTTATTTTCTCCTGCTCTGGAGGGTTGGATAGATTAAAGTTGCAAGGAAGGAGATTGGGACTAGGCTTCAGGAAGAGTTTTCTGACCGTAAGAGCCGTTTGACAGGGGAAGGATCTCTCTGGGATGATGCTGGACTCTTCTTCCTTGGAGGTTTTTAAGCAGAGGGTGGAAGGTCTTGGAAGTGTCAGCTGGGATTCCCACATTGCAGGGGGTTGGGCTGGATGACCTCTGGGGTCCCCTCCAACTCTACAATCCTGGGATTTCCCCCCAGCAGGTCACCGGGGGTCGGCCGCTGCCTCCTCCCAGCCTAGCCTACCTGGCAGGGTTGGGGTTGCGGAGATTGCGCGCCGCCTGGAGCACCTTGCAGGCGGGATACAAACTCAAACTCAAATGCAAATGCAACTACAAATGCAAATGCGAATACATGCAAATGCATGCAAATGAAACTACAAATGCAAATACGAATACATGCAAATGCATGCAAATGAAACTACAAATGCAAATGCGAATACATGCAAATGCTACTACAAATGTAAGTAAATGCAAATGCATGCAAATGCTACTACAAATGTAAGTAAATGCAACTGCATGCAAATGCTACTACAAATGTAAGTACATGCAAATGCATGCAAATGCCCCCCTCCCCCGTCTCTCTCTCTCTCTCTCTCTCACCCTGCCGCTTCCTCTCTCTCTCCACCATGACGTGCCGGTGCAAGGCGCGGGCCATGGCCGAGCTCAGCTTCGGCCTCTCCAGCAGCGCCGGCATGGCGGCCTCTCCGGCTGCCCGGGCGCCCGGGACCCAAGGCGGAGAAAGAGGCTCCTCGGAGGCCGCGGGGAAGGAGGAGGAGGAGGAGGAGAAGCAGCCCGGGAGAGGCGACGCCAACGCCCCGCGCGGCTTCCTCTTCCGGGTCACAGCCGCCCCGCCCCCCCCGCCCGCCGGGGACCCAGGAGTCCGGGCAGGCTCCACCCCCCCAACTGGCTCAAGGGGACCCAGGAGTCCGGGCAGGCTCCACCCCCTCAACTGGCTCAAGGGGACCCAGGAGTCCGGGAAAGGGCTGCCCCTTCTCCAACAATTGAGAAATGGACCCAGGAGTCCGAGAAAGGGTCCAGTGCTCTCCCCCAACTGAGAGGGGGACCCAGGAGTCCGAGAAAGGGTCCAATGCTCTCCCCCAACTGAGAGAGGGACCCAGGAGTCCGAGAAAGGGTCCAGTGCTCTCCGCCAACTGAGAGGGGGACCCAGGAGTCCGGGAAAGGGCTCAATGCTCTCCGCCAACTGAGAGAGGGACCCAGGAGTCCGAGAAAGGGCTCAATGCTCTCCGCCAACTGAGAGGGGGACCCAGGAGTCCGGGAAAGGGATCCCCGCTCTCCCCCAACTGAGAGGGGGACCCAGGAGTCCGGGACTGGGCTGCCCGCTCTCCCCCAACTGAGAGGGGGACCCAGGAGTCCGGGAAAGGGCTGCTATTATGCTTTTCGCCAGAAAATGACAATGATTTAAAATTATGTTTATGATATGTGAAAAAGATATATTCGAGAAAATAAAATAAGCCCGATTGTTTTTTTCTTTTCAAGCAGTAAGCGATGTCCTCAGCTTCACTGGAGTTGCAGATAGAAAACCTTTGCTGAGTTCGAATCTGGAGACCAGTCATACCTGCTTCTGTGATCTCCCTTTTCTAATGCAAGGGGCTTAACATTGTTTGATTTGATTTTCTACATTTCTATGGAGAAGACACTAAAAATGAATTTAAGGCAGGCATAGGCAAACCTATGTTTTGAGACTACAATTCCCATCATCCCTGACCACTGGTCCTGCTAGCTAGGGATCATGGGAGTTGCAGGCCAAAAACATCTGGAGGGGCGAGGTGGAGGAAGCCTGGATTAAGCAGTGAACCCCATCTGTAGGCTCAAGTTCTGTACTTGTGTAAAGAAACCATCTACCCCAAAGACACCGCAAGTCTCCGCTGTGACTTTCCCAAAAGCAACCACAAACCTTGGGTAAGAATGCCTGGAACTCCCCTAAACCTTGTGCTACTCAGATTGGGGGTGGCATGCAATGATTTATTAAGGAAAGAAATGTGCTTTCCTGCCACGCCCACTCGCAAAGTCTCCCTGCAGCCAGAGTCGGGCCCGCCAAGTGGCAAGGAGTGACACAGGCTCAGCGCCTATGGAGATATCCGTAAAGGTAAAGGGACCCCTGACCATTAGGTGCAGTCGTGGCCGACTCTGGGGTTGTGGCGCTCATCTCGCTTTACTGGCCGAGGGAGCCAGCACACAGCTTCCGGATCCTGTGGCCAGCAGGACTAAGCCGCTTCTGGTGAACCAGAGCAGAGCACGGAAACGCCGTTTACCTTCCCGCCGGAGCGGTACCTATTGATCTACTTGCACCTTGACGTGCTTTCGAACTGCTAGGTTGGCAGGAGCTGGGGCAGAGCAACGGGAGCTCACCCCGTCGCGGGGATTTGAACCGCCGACCTTCTGATCGGCAAGCCCTAGGCTCTGTGGTTTAACCCACAGCGCCACCTGCGTCCCACCATGGAGATGTCCATACCTTCCTGCAAATCATGGGGAAGGCCTGTGGCTCAGGTGGCATACAGAAGGTCCCAGGTCCAATGCCCGGGTTAGGGTTAGTGAGAAGATGCTGCCAGTCTGTGCTGGGATGCAAGGCAGCTTTCAGATGCTGCTTCCAAGCTCATGCCGCCCCAATGGCGGATGAGGAAAGAGCAGAAGGGGGTCACCCCACCCTTCCGTCCTTCGTTACAAGCACGATCTTCTGCAGCTCCCGGAAAACAGGGTGCCACCCCCAAATAACGTATTTCGACGGCTGCCATGCAAAGTTTGCGGCATTTGGGACCTTTTAGTTTAAGGGACGACACGATAGAAGCTTGTAAAATTAAGCATGGCAAAGGGAAAGTTTTCCTCGTAACACAGGAAATCGTGGACCTCCCATGAAGATTTAGGAAAAGGAGGAAGACGTACTTGCTCATCCAGGAACTGTGGAACTCCCTGCCACAGGAGTCCAACTTGGGTGTTTTTAAAAGAGGATCGGACAAATTCCTGGAGGAGGAGAGGGCTATCGGTGGCTGTGCTCTCCTGCCACAGTTGAAGGCGGCGATGCGTCTGGGTACGAGTTGCTGGAAACTGCAGGCGGGTCTTGTGTTCGAATCCTGCGTGCAGGTTTCCCAATGAGGCATCTGGTTGGCCACTTTGAGAAGGGGATGCTGGACTGATTAGGCTGCTGGCCTGACGCAGCAGGCTGTTCTTAAAGATAAAGGGACTCCTGACCGTTAGGTCCAGTCGTGGCCGACTCTGGGGTTGCGGCGCTCATCTTGCTTTACAGGCCGAGGGAGCCGGCGTACAGCTTCCAGGTCATGTGGCCAGCAGGACTAAGAAGCCGCTTCTGGCGAACCAGAGCAGTGCATGGAAACGCCATTTCCCTTCCCGCCAGAGCGGTATCTATTTATCTACTTGCACTTCGTGCTTTCAAACTGCTAGGTTGGCAGGAGCAGGGACCGAGCAACAGGAGCTCACCCCGTCGTGGGGATTCAAACCGCCGACCTTCTGATCAGCAAGCCCTAGGCTCTGTGGTTTAACCCACAGCGCCACCCGCGTCCCTAGGCTGTTCTTAGGTTGTAGGAAAAAGAGACACAGACACTGAACCAGCTGAATCCTGGTTTATAAACCCTTGCAAGGAAGTTGGGGAGAAACGCACTGTACAACCTTTGAAACTTTTGTTCAAAAGAAAAAAAGGGAAAAAAAGGGAAACGAAGTTTTTTTACAGAGGTAAAAAAAACAAAACACCCCAATGCATGTCATTTTCCAACAAATAAAGTGAAAAAGCAGCATAAATACCATTTAAAATATATATAAATCAAAGGGGGACGGGGTGGGCATTAAAAGCCATGTACCCCTTCGCCCCTCAAGAAAATTCACATTTTTTTTTAAATTTTAATTTGACAACCAACACAAGGTTTTAAATAAATAAGGGAAGGGGGTGGGGAATAATCAATAGGCTTGAAAAGGGAAAATGGGTGTTAACACACACTTGAGAAATGCGTGTCGGGCTCCTTCAGGATAAAAAGAGCAAGGAAATTTAATTTGGGGGGCGGGGAGAGGGCGATGTGCTTGTTGTACAGGGAATGGGGGGGGGGAGAGAGGAGGAATCACCGGAGTCTTCTCTGGAGAGAAATCGTGGTACTGGTGGCGAGTTCGAGAAGCTGGGTGTCAAATTTGATAAATCCGTGTCTCTTCTCTTAGGTGGGAATAACCGGAGGGAAATCGTGGTACGGGTGTTGAGTTTGAGAAGCTAGGCGTGAAATTTGAGAAATCCATGTCTCTTTCCCCCCGGAACCCACCTTTGAAACCTTCCACGGGGTAAGTGCTTGTTCACAGGCTGCGTTAATTAAACACACACACACACACACACACACACACACACACACACACCCCATTCCACACCTTATTCCACGACCTTCTTTGGGGTGGTACACACAGTTGGTGCAGAAGGCTGAAGAAAGAGGGTGGTGGTGGGGGGGATGAAAAAGAAGGACCCCCATTAAAAACACGCACGCGTACTAAGGAGCAAAGAGACCCACGCTTCGGGGGCGAGTGCGAATCTGCACCTCTGCTTTCTCTTCCAGGGAGGGGGCAGCGGCTGGGTCAACCCTACTCTCTGCCCCCTTCACGCCCCCCTCCTGAAATGTCCTGTCGCAATGCAGCCGTCGAAGAAAAAGAGAGGGGGCCAATATCACCCCCCCCAACACCCCCCCCCACTTCCTATCCTTTCCCAATGAACAGACTCAACACTGCAGGGGAGGGCGAGTTTGGAAGGGAGGGAGGAAAAGGGTGAATTTTGCCGGTATAGAAACCCCTGGGCGTTCCAGAAAGAGCCCCCACACCCCAAAATCTGCAAAAGTCCTTTTGGGGCAGCTAACTCCCCTGCCCCGCTTACCCCAAAAAACCCCTCCCCTCATGCTCTTAAATACAAGGCTCAACTCAACACTCCCCAAACATCCCAACCCCCCAAGTTTAGCTTGTCTCTGTGCAAAAAAAGGAAAAATTAGGGGGGTAGAAGAAGCAGCCGTCTGTGGCCACAGGGGGGCGACGCCATCCTCTGCCCCACTGAGAGAGAGGGGGGGCAGTCTCTTGTGCCTGTCGATCGCCGTAGCTGTCGTCGTCCCCCCTCCCAGTCTGTGCGTAGCAGGGGGTCGGGGGTTTTGTTTTTTGGCAACAGCCGCTACCCCCGCTGCTCCTCCCCGCCGAACGCCGTGGCGTCGTCATCGTCAGCGCTCCTGGGCGGGGAGCGGTCCTCATTCCACGCGGACGAGGAGCCCGTAGAGGACGGTAGCACCTTTCTCCTTGGTGACCCACTCAATGTCGGCGCTGCTGAAGCGGGGGTCCAGGGGCTCGGGGGTCGCCAGCGACTGGGCGCAGACTTTGTAGGACCCGGGGCGGACGCACACCTGAAAGGCCACCTGGGCCGAGTGCTGCCGGTGGGACTTTGGGTCTTTGAATCTGCGGGAGAGAAGGCGGACAGAATCAGGGGGCCGTGAGGTTAGCAGGAGACCTAATAATAATAATAATAATAATAATAATTTATTTATATCCTGCCCTCCCCAGCCGAAGCCGGGCTCAGAGCGGCTAACAACAATAAAAGTAACACAGCATTCTAAAATCAGTTCATTTTAAAATCAATTCAGAATCAAATTAATGGCAACCATTGGGCTAGAGATCTGCGAGGATTACCAAAGGAGGGGGTCAGACTGTGCCTTGGCCAAAGGCCTGGTGGAACAGCTTCATCTTGCAGGCCCTGCGGAAAGATGTCAAATCCCGCAGGGACAGAGCGTTCCACCGAGTCGGGGCCAGTGCTGAAAAGGCCCTGTCCCTAGTTGAGACCAATCTAACCACCTGGGA